TGAATGTTTTGCAGCGTTATGGCACTCATAACTTCCATACCTTTTCCCATACTGAATCATGAGCATTAGTGTTGGCCTTTAGCATCCTGCATGCAGATTTCACAGTGAAGAGCCCATGTTTTTCATGCTTCGACCTAACACCCTCTTCACTATCTTGAGTAGCTGTAAACTCAATTCCATTCTTTACTTTATCCCATGTGTTCCTAAGACCACTCCAAAATTAGAACCAGGACAAGATTGATCCACCTTCGGCATTAAATCAATACCACACTTGTACTTGCTCCGCATGACCCTTGCCTAAGGTGCCTGTTTGTTGTTAATGAGACCCAAACCTGCCTTCATCATTAATGCCTGGTTCTGAGTCTTTGCATGCTGTAAACCCTGTCCCCCTTTTCTTTTTTCTGTGCACACATCATCCCATGCTACAAGATGGACACGTCTCCTCCCAAGGGTAGACCCCCAAAGAAACTGGCGAGAACATTTATCAATCTCTTCACAAGTGCTTATTGGAGGGGAAGAAGTCTGCATACAATACATTGGAATGGCAGATAAAACCGCCTTCGTTAAAGTGCTTTGACCGTCAAAAGAAATAGTATTGGCCTTCCACTTAGACAATCTTTGCTTCATGTTATCAACCACATACTGATAAGTGTGTTTGTTCACTCTTTCATGATGAAGAGGGACACCGGGATATTTTTTGAAGTCAGCCGTGCGATTAAATCCCAACAAATCACTAAGTTGTTGAGCTCTATTATGGCTCACATTATTTGAAAAAGACACCCTATTTTAGTAGAACTCACTTTCTGCCCCGATATAGCACAGAACAAATCCCGCTTTGGCAAAAATAACCATCATCAACAAAAAAGAGATTAGAGAATGGTGGTCCATCTTTAGTGAGTTTGCTGAGCTTGTTACCATGTTTTTTGGGCCTATAGCCATTTGAGTGTAGAAAATGATTTAATATTATCTAGTTAATTTAAGGCTTTATTGATTCCCCCCCCCCCACCAAAAAAAAAGCATCTGATTCCTTAAAATCTTTTTTTCAGTAACAACCTCATAAAAAAAAATGTCAAATCAATACTTCATTATAATTTAAATTTAAATTTCCCACTTCAATGTTCATTCTTCGATATTTTAGCACTGAAAATTCTAAAAAAATTGTTACCCAATATTACTTTTTTAGAGTTTTTATTCTTTCTCCTTGTTTCTTCTCACTATCATATTTATGATTTATCTCCCCTAGAATGAATACTAATCCCAGCCAGTTTGTTTTACCATTTTATTTTGGGAGAATTACTAAGAGCCTGTTTGGAAACACCTAAAAAATTGATTTTAGCCACAAAATCATAGTTTTGAAAATTTTTACCCAAACACCCCACGTTTCCAAAATTCCATTTAACTTCCCAAACTCCATTATAGTGAAGCAGATTATTATTCCATTTTGAAAATCAATTATGACCGTTATTGCATTTATTGTAGTCTTAGATGATAGATAAAAAATTAAACTCTTTCTTAGCCCTCTCCAACCCTCACGTGATCTTCTTGACTCCTAAACTTCAAGCTTTTGAATTGCAAAACTTCGTCTTCTCCCTCAAAGCTCCAGATCGTGAATGGCATCTCATGAGTGGCGGCCTGCAGAGCATCTTCTTCACTACAGTTTGGTGTGAACGGCCTTCCTTCAGTGCTTTTGTCCAAGTTTGAGCTCCTTCCTTACCCTCGTTCTTCATCCTCGATCTGGACAAGATCTCCAGATCGTGAGTGGCATCTCATGAGTAGCGACTTGCAGAGCATCTTCTTCACTGTAGTTCGATGTGAACGGCCTTCCTTCGGTGCTTTTGTCCAAGTTCAAGCTCCTTCCTTACCCTCATTTTTCATCCTCGATCGTTCTTCATCCTCGATCTGGACAAGATTTGCAGATCGTGAGTGGCGTCTCATGAGTGACGGCTTGCAGAGCATCTTCTTCACTGCAGTTTGATGTGAATGACCTTCCTTCGGTGCTTTTGTCCAAGTTCGAGTTCCTTCCTCACTCTTGTTCTTCATTGTCGATCTCCTCCCTCCAGCTTCGATCTCCTTCCTCCAGTGCTTCTCTGTTGAACTTTGACCTCTACCTCCTACATTCAGTATGTCCTCCCCTATTTTAGGTGTTATTTTATATCCTCTATAAGGTATGATTTTCGTTTTGCTCTTTTTGTCTCCTTCGACCTCTACATGTGGTTTCTCTGTGTCTATGTTTTTTTTTTAATTTTTGAGTCTTCGACTTCCGACCTCTGCAGAATATGCTTTTTGTTAAGGAGATGATGAAACAAAAATTTAAAAAAAATTGGACAGGAGACAATGAACAGAATATTTGGCCTTTTTTATTTTTTTATTTTTTTTTTTGTGAACTAAACTGTTGATAATACTGAGCCTTCACGTTTTTATGTTCCTCAAATTCATCTTCCATATATGTTTTCTGATAATTTTTTTTTATAATCCTCAACATGCTTACTATGCGGTTGATGGATAATTTTTGATTTGTGATATGCTGAAATTAATTTTTATATAGTACAATGACTAAGGATAAATCAAAAGCCTCGTGAGATATGAGGAGTACTAAGATTTTTATTGACTTATGCTTGGACCAAGTGCACAAGAAGCAGAGAAATGGTGGTAGCTTTAGCAAAGCAGGCTGGATAAATATAGAAACTACCTTCAATAGTAAGACTGGAAGAAAATATGATAAGTAACAATTCAAAAACAAATGGGATAATTTGAGAAAGGAATGGAAAGACTGGAATAGATTGATTCTGAGTGAGACTGGGTTGGGATGGAATCATGAAAAGAACACAGTAGATGCTCCAAATGATTGATGGGAGAAAAAGATATCGGTATGACATTGTTATGTGAGGTTATATATTTATTTTCTTTATTCATGTGTATTGTGTAATATTATCAGTAATATCTGTGCAGGAAGATCCAACATATGAAAAATTTTGGTATAAAGGATTATCTTTTGCAAATGAATTATGTGAATTGTTTCAAGATACAACAGCCACAGGAGGCAGATCATGGGCTCCATCAAGTAGAGCCCTCCCTTATCAATATCATAGAGTTGAAGATGAGGAAGAAGATGAGTATCGCCCATATATGAAACAACGAGGTGTAGATCTTGAAGAAGGTTCAGGGGACAATGATGAAATTTTAGGAGTTGCTACTGGAGTAAGTGGTGAGTTCCAAAGAGTAATTCTAAATACTTTACAGGGAATCTATGGTGAAGGTAATGGGAAGGAATTGGGAACTACTAGTAGAGGTAGTGGGAAGAGGAAGAGGATTGAATGCAACAGTAAGAGAAAGAAAAAAATGACCACCTTAAAAGTAATAGCTAATGTAATCAGTAAAATAGCTAGTATATCAGAGATAGAAGCAACTCATGTAAATGGAACATCAATAGCTGAAGTTATGCAACATGTTGATGCAATTGATGAAATCAGAAATGACTATGACCTGTATGCATGGTGTATTTCACTCTTCATGGACTAGACTGTAAGGGAAATATTTACTGAGATGAGGAATGGGGGTCCAAGAAATGGTTGCAATATTTTTAAATACGCTTGCACATGGCTTAGGAAATAAGATGGCACAAGATAGGTTTCAACACTTAGGAGAAACTATTAGCAGGCACTTTCATGATGTTTTATCAGCTTGTAATATGCTTGCAATGGAATGTATCAAGCCACAAGATCGAACATTACATCATCTATCAATAAAATTGCAAAATGATAAACGATATTGGCCTTTTTTAAAAAATACAATTGGAGCAATTGATGGTACACATATTCCATGTGTGGTCAATGCTAGTGAACAACAAAACTATATTGGAAGAAAAGGAATTTCAACACACAACATAATGGCGGTTTATGATTGGGACATATGTTTTACATTTGTCTTGGCTGGATAGGAGGGTACTGCACATGACTCTTGCATATTTCAATATGCTCTCACAACTCCTTCAATGAACTTCCCACATCCGCCTTCAGGTATATTTATTTTTTTAAAAAATTTAGTTATCTTAGACTTAAAATTACAAACATGTCAATTAATCTTGTTTTTTATAAGGTAAATATTATTTGGTGAATGCTGGTTATCCAAACCCAAATGGATATGTTGGACCGTATAGACGTGAGCGCTATCATCTTTCTAATTTTAGGAGGTTATCTTTATTTGCAAATAATAATGAGGTCTTCAATTGTCATTATTCAAGTTTAAGGTGTACCATAGAAAGAATTTTTGGCATTTGGAAGAATAGATTTGTAATTTTACGCCATATGCCTAGCTATGATTATGATACATAAGTTCAAATTGTTGTTGCAACAATGGCAATACATAATTTCATTAGAAAACAGTCTGATTCTGATTATGAATTTATGCGTCATGAAACGGAAGACCACATAGAGCATGAAGATGATGATCATGTTGATGACTATTCATCCTTGCCTTCATCTACAGCATCCTTATCAGATATGGCTCATCTTCGTGATGTCATTAGAGTTCAAATAGTTTATTATCTCCCAAGTCGTTAGTTGTTATAAACTAGATGTTTAATATTTAAGATTTGTATTTGTCTCTTTTATTAAATTTATTCTAAGTTAGATACATTGATTTATATTTTTCCATGGATTCATTTTATCAATATTGCATTAAAAAAATTGATCAAAAATTATTACATTATAAAAATAAATGTCTTTTATTGTAATTTATCCATTCAAAATTAATTCCGAAAAAATTATCCAAACATCTTTAATTTTATCAAAATTAATTTTAAAAATTTATCCAAATACCACTATGTTTTGATAATCAATTTGTTTTATAATCAATTTTCTCAAATTAAAATCCAAACGGGCCTAAGCAACCTCACAGAAGTCATGAAAATACAATAAACTCCCATGAAATATTAAAATATCCATAAAGTTCCAAGCCCTTTCCGTAGAAAAATGTTTTTATACTCAATTAACAAAGTAACCTTGTACTTTCCTCCTAACCTCCGATTTCTTCAATAGGTTGCCTCTGGAACTTTCTTCGACTGACCGAAGAGGCTAGTATCGCCTGGCTCCACCGAGTCCGGCCTTTTACCGTCATTGCTTAAACTCTGTCGGCGATCTCACGAAGATCGCTTCTGAGGCCGCGGAAGAAGGACTCTGGTGAAGAACCGCCCCTTTTTCAAGACACGGTGAGCAAACGTAAAATCAAGAAAAATCATACCCCGATAGTCGAATTCCCAAAATACGAATCTTTGAAGAGCCAACTTTGTCCCAGTCTAGAATTTGCCAAGTTCCAGTTTTGCTCAGATCTGTTGTGTGATAGCAATGGCGGATTATCACTTTGTGTACAAGGACGTGGAAGGATCGTCCACCCAGTGGGATGATATCCAGAGAAAGCTTGGCAATTTACCCCCAAAACCACCTGCGTTCAAGCCGCCACCGTTTACGCCTGCACCTGATGAGGATTCGGTTCCGAAAGATAAGGCCTGGATTGATGACAAAACGGAACAAGAGCTCGAAGAGCTTGAAGACGATCTCGATGATGATAGATTCCTTGAGGAGTACAGGTTGGTTATTGAAGTTCGATTTGTAACGAATGTTGATTTCCAGAAACCTAGTGACTCGACTTTCGGTTTTTTTCCCCCTTCTCTTGTATGAGGAAGAGAATATTTTCTGTCAGAATATGAAAATAACGTATATGTATATCATTTGAAATCTTATGACTGCCTTTATTTTTCCTTTTTTCCACTCGACCTTGTCCCCTATGCTTAACCCGCTTTGATTCAGGTGGATGATATTATTTTGGCTATATACTTTCTTAACACCTCTGATTATGTTGTGTTTAGGAAACAACTGCTGTAATGCGTCTTCGACGGAAAAATAAAAAGGCTAAAGCAAGACTTTTATCTTTATATTCTCATTTGATTCTCGTTCTTTGATAGGAAGAAGAGGCTGACCGAGATGAGAGAGGCAGCTAAAGTTTTGAGGTTTGGATCGATAATTCCAATATCAGGATCTGATTTTATTCGAGAGGTTTCACAGGCTCCATCTGATGTTTGGGTTGTTGTACACCTTTACAAGGAAGGGTATGCCTTGAGAGTTCTTTAAATTATTTATATCATTTCAAATGTATAACTTAGTAAAGTTTCTTAGGCGATTGCTACTTGGTTCTCCAACGTGAAGAAACTTTTTGGAAGAACCAATTTATGCATTGTCAAGCTGTAAAATACCTCTACTTGTACTGCATTATTGGAAAATCAGATAAAAAAAATGTTCAAAAGCTGTGTTTAAGTTTAGAATACAGTTTCTTGTGCTGATCTTAATTTTACTCTCTCTCTCTCTTTTTAAATGAATTTCATGGCAGAATTCCTGAATGTGGACTTCTAATGCAATGCTTAGAAGAATTGGCTACAAGATACCCTGCAACAAAATTTGTCAAGATAATATCTACTGATTGTATTCCAAACTACCCAGATCGCAATCTTCCCACTTTGTTGGTTTACAACAGTGGAGCAGTTAAAGCAAATTATGTGGGCTTGCACGCTTTTGGCCGGAGATGTACTCCTGAAGGTATTTAATTTGTTTCAGGATGCTTATGATATTTGTTTTCTTGCTTTGATTAGTAGTGCCCCTTTCTATTTTATTCTATTAATCTTAAAGACATGCCAATTGTGTTATGGATTTTTTTTTTGGGTTATTTTTGAAGGGTTTAAATTTTGAATTTTTATCCATATCCTATCCCACTCTTACCACTTGAACTATAGGTGGCTTGAGATGTTCTTCTTTCATTGTTGATTTCTTTTAATAGTTTCCTGTTGAAAAAGGCAGGAGCTTTACTTCTTCTATTTCATGTCTATTATGGGTTTATGGGCTGCTTCTATTGTGAAGCTTTTCTCGAAATTGCTGTTATTAAATTGTACATTTAAACTGATATCTATTTCTGTTTTAACATAATTAACATTGAATGTTGTTTAATCAAATACCATCTGGCAATATTTATTGTCAGATTATTTATATCAATATAATTTATTCACTCTATGGAAGAATGATTAGGTGGTGTTCTTCTAGCAACCTGCGTGTTGTGAAATTCCAGATACAAATGGGGAATATTTAAACCATTTCTCTCTGCACTGCATCTCTTCCTGTAAAACTGGCATCTTAGATGGACGCTAATGTACAGCTTCACAGAAACCCAAAGTGTCGGTGTTATATCTAAGTGTCACTTCGTGTTAACATGTATGTATGACGTTTACTAGTCATGAAGACTGATTATTGATTGAAGATTCTGTGCTTCATTACTTGCTATTGTTCCTTGTCTATTAACCTGTCTATATTTAGAACACGTATTATCATTTTCCTCATGCTATTTGTATGCATATGGTTCCCACTGATTGAAAAAATTCAGCTGAGACATATACTTCTACCTTCTTATTTTTCATGATCCTCTTTTCTATCTTCTCCCTCATTCTACCTAACATGTTTTGGTGAATCATTTGCACGTTCTGGTAAAAAAAAAAAAAAAAAGGTGTTGGATTAGTACTATGCCAATCAGATCCTGTGCTGAACGATGGCCAGAGTGGGAATGAACAATCAAGAAAAGCTGTCATCGATGGTGTTCGCAAGAGGTTCATAGAGAAAGTTGTTGCTGAGCACGAGCAGAAGGATGATGATGGTTCCTCTGAGTGATTAGCATGTTTGCTTGTGTTTATGTCTTTCCGTAATTAAGATATTTGTTTTCATGAAGAGAAGCAATAAAGGTAGGAATTTTGTGCCTCCCACAACTTTGCTTTCCTTAATATGCTCTTTCTGAGTCCCGTGTAATTGTGAAATTGACAGTAGTATTTTTTTCTGATGTGTGATTCCCTGTCATTAGATGCTAAATCAATCCAAATTTGTATTTACATCTTGTCTTGTTCACCATTCTTGATTTATAATGTTTGAATGAATGGTAAGGATTGGAATGGCTAATATGGTATTAGCCACTGTCCAATGTGTGTGTATTATTATAGTCGTTGCCATTTGGTTTTCTTTTATTTTCTTAATATTTTTTCTTGGCCAACCATTTTATTATGCTCTTTTACTTTGTAATCTACCAAACATGGCTGTATGAATTTTGGTTTGATGGGGGGAAAATAATAACGTGAACGAAACTCAGCTTTTAGAAACTGGTCTGAACAATCCACGTGAATGATTCAGGCCTTGGGGCAAGATGCTAAGATCGAGGCATTGGTTTAAATATTACTCCCTCCAAGTTAAAATATAAGTTGTAGTTAATTATATCATCGTTAAATATTCTAAGAGTTTTGATCTAATAATAATAATTAAAATTTTAGTTATATTATCGTTAACTATTTTATATGAAAGTCTCGATATAATAATAATTATTATTATTAAAATGAAAATTTCAATGTATGTTTTCTTTCAAAAAGAGTAATAATAAAATAGAAGTATAGTTAAAAAAAATAAATATAAAAGTTATTTAATGTTTTATATTTTGAATTAGATAAGGTTTTTAAAAAATATTTTATATTATGGTTTAGAAGGAGTGGTAGGTAAAAATCATTGTTGAATTATGATTAAATTGGGAACAAGTTATTTCTTTAAATCAGTTAATCACTGATTTAATAGTTTGTTAGTTCAAATGATTGAATTAACTCATATTTCAATACCATGGAATAAGGTGAAAACTCCAACACTAGTAATTATGCTATTCACTACCTGGGAATAATTTTGGTAGTGAATGATTGTCATAATTCACAAGCAACAATACCCACCCTAGTAGATATGAAACAAATCAGTTGTGTCTACAATTTTATTTAAAAAATATGACGGGAAATATTTAATTCTTAACTCAGACAATATCTTGAACTTAAGAAACAAAGGTAGATTCTAAATTATTTATATTAATTATTAAATCGAGATGATTCAGATCTAATTCAAAAACGTGCATGACATTCTCAAACCCATGATGAATAGATCCAGACACCCGAATAATATCGGAGTTCAGGGACATCTAATTTCGTAAATTGGATGATGATATTATTGGTGACTAGTGGCCATTGTTAGTAAGTATAAATTTATAACGAAAACTATCAACTTGCTCATAATTGATGAAGATGAAAATATCTCATGTAAGTGTCAATTTTTTTAATGGGAGAATTATGTTAATGTCTCACAAACAAACAAAAAAAATATAAGGTTCATTAAATAATTGAACTAAAGCATTGACAACACATCAATAATTTTAATTCAGCTGTTAATAGACCTAATAATAATTAATTATCTTTTGTGAGATCTGGTTATAATTCTTCTTTATTTTAATCTTTACCCATGCTGGTTCTACTGACGGTTAGAGAACAATCAGAACATTTTCTTTTAAAGAGAAGGATAAGAGAATTATTATAAGATCAACGACATTATATTTATATGATAACAAATGTTTATGTCACAAAAATAGAGCAAAAAAATTAGGATAACAAAACCTAGAATGGTGGGATAGATGTCATATAATAAAAATAATTCGCAATTACTGTATATTGAAAAAATTGATCTAGCATTTATAAAAAATAGTTTTAAGTGGTACAAATTTGTATAAAGAAAGTATAAAGAGGTAAAGCAAGGCCAAAATAGCCATCCAGAAAAATAATTGAAGATCTATCCCCAAATAATATATCTAAAAACTTAATTATTAATATAACACAGCAATATTACATTATCCATATAGCTAACCCTGCTTCGGCCCCATCTAAATTTCAATTGAATATAATTAATTATAAAAATAATTGATTAACATTGATTGATTTTAATTATAATTAATTATATCATATCACAATCTGTTTAAATATTAAAATTAATTTTAACTATACAAATTATCATAAAGGACATTACTTTTTAAAATTAAATTATTAATAAAATTATATTTCAAGAAATAAAATATATTATTTAACAATAAAATTAAATTTATAAATAATTTTGTAAAATTTATTTCAAAACGTGATTTTATCTCAATAATCAATTATCAACTTTTTATGTTGTTTGGGTAATTTTTCCAAAAATTGATTATTTGGGCCCCAAAATCGATTATAATGTCAATCGAAAAGGCTGTTTGTTGAATTAGATTTGCTACTTGTTATTGGTTAGTTCCAGTAACATCCCATAAGCCAAGTTCCCAGAAGAGGAAACGGTGAAAAGGGCAAACAAACTATTTCAATGCAGCATAAGATTTTGACTGGACATCAGAATGACCGGAAATATATGGCATACAACAACAACAACAACAACAAGCCTTTATCCCACTAAGTAAGGTCGGCTACATGGATTGCAAGACGCCATTGTGCTGTATCAAAATATATGGCATAGATTAGCCTAAAATATTGAGAGCCATAATTTTCATTTCCCCTTTCTGAGGGACTGTCAATCTAGTTACTTGGATGCAACATCACAATATTTTAACCCTGGTTAGTTTCAGTCACACCCCAACTTTAACGTAGCTTCCCATCAAGGGAAAACTAAAAAGAAAAAATTCTGACAAAATTTCCAAGTATCATACCAAACATTGCAGATCTATTCCACCATGGCGTCACCTGAAACATCAGCGGCTGGCACCGAAGGTTTTCTTTTATTCTTACCTGTAAGAAGGCACCACAGGCATCAGTCAAACATTGGAAGAGAAGAAGATATGAAATTTGACATCTCAAACTCCGATGCGATGTTCTATTACCAACATAACAGTTCCGTCCCATCTCTTCTTTAAGGGGGAAAAATAAAATTATGTTCCATTAATTCTTTCCTCAACAAAGTGAATCAACATTATGCCAACTGTACATGACTGACAACAAAGATGTCTTGAACCAATTGTACATAGGTTCATCTTTCTATCTACTTAGAATATATCCAGCCTGCTGGAGATGGAATAAAAGCATGCTAAAATGAAAATCTTACCTTTATGCTTCACCTGTTTAAGTTTTACGCTCTTCTTCAAGTGAATCTTTCTGGATGGTTTGCTACTATCTTGTGATTGGGAACCCCCTAATAGCAAATTGAACATAAGCTTAAAGAAAACCATCAAATATGTTTTCCACTATCAGCTTAACAAACCAACTACAACTACGAAAAAGCATCCATGCTGTCCCCATTAGAAACAAACTACAGCTATGATGGGATTGGGGATATACTGCTCATTGTAGAGGTAACAAAATAAACATAAAGGAAGCAAATAGCATTTGTCATAAGATTTTTTCAGTTTATAAATACATTATCAACTTCATTCAAAGGTGAAGTTAGATGTAGTTCACCGAATTAGCTCTGGATAGATTTTGGAAACCCAAAAGTGTTTTTCTGGCTTGGAATGTCTCTCACATGCTAGAAGCTGTAATCACAATGATTATGCAAACTGTAATGCTTTATCATTGACAAAAGAATGCTATGATGACAACCTGTTAAAATCAATGTATAAAATCTGGAGGTGTATTATCCTCTATATAAATTGAAAGAGTACGTAAGATAGAGAAAAGCTATTACTTTGAGGTCTGAATTCTCACATTGTGGAGAGAGATTTGAATTAAAGAGCTTTGTTCAAGAGTCATCATGCACGAACTCTTCAAAAGACGTAGCTCAAATCCTCATTCAAGTAACTAAGCTCTATTTGCAAAACTCTCAGAATTTTTCCATTATTTTGAATTTTCTGACAACATTTCTGTGTTCTTCAACTTGAAATGACATCGATGCTAGTAGGGAGACAGTGAGTTGCAGGTTGGAAGCAAGGGGTGATAGAAATGTTTGAGGACTTGGTTTTTAATATTGGAGAAGGCATGAATCAAATACACAAAGCTTACGATGATTTAAATTAGTTAATGCAATTCAAGTAAAAGAATTAAGTAACTATAATCTATAATATCATTCAAAGAAACCCCAAAAATAAAAAAAAATTAAATGAAAACCAAATCATTCTATTGCTTACCACAATTTAGGAATAATTTAACCCTTGGAGTACAAAGAAGTCAGATGACCAAAACAGGACATCATAGTTATCCCTTAGGCTTTAATAGCCTCCAGCATGATAATATAAGGCTAACAAATTTACAAGCTAATAAAGTAATATCATCCAAAACAGATGAAAAGAATTTGTCCTTGACAGTAACACTTCAGGACATTCTATTTTCATTTGAGAATTCACCAGATGATACCAATTCTTGAGAGATACATGATCTGTCTCAATATATACAGCAAAGACGCATTCCACGATTTTAAAAAATAATCATTAAAACAAAGCTGAAACACAATATCAATGTACGTTACCTTCAGCTTCAGCTACTGCCATCTCTACATCTTCCATGGTTACCAGGCCTTTCTCCAGAGCTTCCTTTTGCTCCTTCAATTAATTCAAAACGCAATAATGAGCTAATGCAACATCAAATACAGGATGATTATACGGAAGTAAAGACAATATCAGGTTCATTAGGCAACGGAAAAAAAAACACAGAGAGAAAGAGGGAGGAAAAGAGAGTACTCGGCGCCACTTTTTGAAGAGCTTCCGCTTTCGTTTGCCGGAGATGGAAAGAGGTTGGTACTTGGTCTTAAGCTTGCCGGTGATAGGGTCGCCATGAAGCTGTCTCTTCTTCTCTGATAGTAGGGCTCTCCTTTTCTTCTGCACAACATTGAATTTGGCCATATTTGCTTTTGTTTTCTCGCCAACGAACTTCACAAACCCTAAAGGCTAGACCCGCTAGCGCATTTAACCTTCTCTATTTCGTTGGTTGTACCTGCCTCCAATAAACTCTTCAATTGGTGTTTTTACTCTTTTAAATAAAACTAGATTTTATAATATTAATTTTCAATTGCAATATAATCGAATAAAGAGCAGCGGGGATTTTGATGAATTCAATTATTAAATAAAATTTTTAACATTGGTAAAATGTAAAGGAGATAAATAAATAAAATTACTTATAAATTTTAAATTACACTTATTTATACAATTATAAAAGCTATTAAAATATCCATGCGATGCATATGTTTTATATTATAGTTTTTATAAATAAATCTGAAAGAGTAATTTATAGTAGACACTTTATCCATATATATTATCTAATGGGATTATATAATTATAATTATTTAATATTAAATATATAAATTAAGTAAAATAAATGGTAAAAACTAAATACATATTGTGCGATGGAAAATAGATTAATAAAAATTTATAATTATTTAAATCAAGTTATCAAAGACATTCTTATAAACAACATTAAAAATTATATCTCTAAAGCGATCATTCTCATCAAGAATTAATATTTTTAGACACCCCATGCTTCTTACACAAGAAAACAACAACATATAATCGATCATTGGTGAAAATAGTATGACATATGTACAAATTAACATGACACAAGATCTAATCCTAACTTTTATTAATGGGCATTGCAAACGGCCAATATAATAGGGAAAAAAAGTCTCCTTTTCATAGTAAATGATAACTTAGAATCAAATGAATATAGAACAATATATACTGTCTTTGTAATTGATCCAGATATTTATTGAGCTTCAATAACATGTTTTCTAGCTGATATAACTATAAGACGTGTGCTATTGTACAACCTCATGAACTTATCAATGTTCTAGTTCACATTAAAATAATTACAGCATCCACTTTAAGCCTTATTTCATAATTTAAGTGTCTTGGCATTGTAATTTAATTTATAAAATATGTAAAGTGTAAGTCATTAAGTAAATTTATATATCTATCATCTTCAATAAACACTATCAAAGTTCAAGAATACAACTTTCTCTCCTAAAAGCAGGGACAATATGTATTTGTTTATTTACCATAGTCAATAAAGCATCATAGGAGCTAATTAATTTGCCTATATCTAAAATATGAAGAATTATATATATTGGTAAGAAAATCTAAGAAAGTCCAATCAATATGGATTTATTAGATTATCTGAACCATTCAGTAACAAATCAGATAGGATCTTAATGCTCATAAATCTTTTATTAGCTCTAATAGTAGTCCTATCAAGATAATCCATTCAATAAAATTCTGAAGAGCACTAATAGATGCTCCATTGTTTGTTGTTAGAAATCTCATGTTTATTATTAGTGTAAGAAGTTGATAATTATCCCAAAATAAATAGTTAATGATTGCAAAAATAATGTTTTCTCTTAACCCATCTAGAATAACAGGAATGCTAGATTTGCTTGATGCCTCCACCAAAACATAGCAACTTTTTTTTTAAAAGAAAGATCACCAACTAATAGGTTGCTTAACTTAGAATATCGTTTAAGCATTTATCAAGAGTTTCAAGACAAAATTTGTGTGCCATTGGAGCCTCATCTCATATAATCAATGACTTATAAATCAATAATTTAGCTAAGTTGCTCCCCTATTTCATGCCACATATAGTGATTTCAGTCACAATAAGAGGGATACAAAATTTGAATGAATTGTATGTCCTACTAGGAACATTAAAGAAGCTATCCCTCTTGATGCTATATTGGAACTATCTCACCTCTAGATTTTAAAGTAGAAAGTTTTCTTCAAAAATATGTCTTCCCAATGTCACCATATCCATACAAGGAAAAAAAAAACCCTTTATCAAATTCAATGACATCAATAATTTTATCATAAATTTTTTTTCTTAGAAGTTAGGTTCTAAAACAATTTTATCAATTTATTATATAATGCAGCCCTGTCATAATTTAGGTTACATCTTATTAATTTTTTTTCTATTTGCATTTAAACTTGACATGTCGGTTGAAAGTATAAGATCATAATCTCTGGAACTTTTCTTATTAGATTTTAGTATTTTTTTTAATTTTAATTAAAGTTGGTAATATGAGTCGAACTCATGAGCCCATCCTAGTCAAATAGTGATAGGTTGGATTGTATAATTTAGAGCTCGGTTAGATGTTTTAATTTTTAAATTTTAATTATATTAAAAAGTCTAAGTGTTAAATTTTCTCATAATGTGTTTGTCTATTCTCTCCCCCTTCAATTTAGGGAACTTTAAATAATTAAATGTAACAATTTTAAAATAAGTAATTTAGAAATTTTGCGATCAAATTAATAAATAGTGAAAATAAAAATAAACACAAATTATACTGACTAATTTATTATCATTATATATTATTTCCCTATTTCATTAATCTTTTGTATATACATGTTTAAAATATATTTTAGACAACTTGTGTATTTATATTTTAAAAAATATCAAATAAATAAGTTTGCAAAACTAAAAAGTTTAAAATATGAATAAAATGCTTAAAAAATATATGCATTAAATTTTTTTTAGGTATATTGAATATTGTTAAATAACATCTATATTTAAAGAGGGTATTTTGATCTAATATATGACTTAATGGTTAATTAATGATTGGATAAATAAAAATAACATTTTTAAAATAGAGAGGAGGTTTGTGTTTTAAAACTATTAGTTCTAGGGAAGTTTTGTATATGTTTAAAAAATAGGAAGGATGTCTATTTGATTCAAATAAATTAGAAAAGAAGTCAATATATTTTACTCTTTTAATTATTATAATATATACTATAATATATATAAGGATGAAAATTCAAATTAAAATTGACAAACTTTCTAAACATCATGTATTGAAATTTTAATTTATCTAGCTTAAAATTTAAAATTTAAACTTAAAATTTTTTTGTATTAAGAACTTAAAGTCTTTTATTATTAACTACATCATATTGGCAATTCAAAATAGGTAAATATATTGATCAATATTATCAACTTATCCTACTCAAAATATAATCTTACCAAAACTTGAAATACTTCTAGAAGTTAAGATTGATTTGGTAAATTATTTTATCAAAGATATGTTTTTAGATATAATTTTTTGCACATTAATTGGTCAATATTTTTTACACTTTTAACTTAATTTGATTATATATTTCAATTTCAAATCTCAATATTTACTAATTAAATAAAATGATTGGTTAAGAAAAATATCATAAATTAGTTAATATTATTTTTTAACAAGCAAAAATAATATTATTTAATTAAAAATATGAGTATTTTTAAATTTCAAACTTCACACCATAAATAACCAATATATTACCCTTCCAAGAATATTGAATTTTATGAAAGTTTATCAAATTTCAACATTTCATAATAATTTGAGTTTTAAAATTTTAAATATAAATGAAGATGGATAAAATTAACTTATTTTATAGAAGATATAATGTAACCATTCTTTTTATTTTGTATATATAAATATTTAAAGCACAGAACCACTTAAAGAATACCAAAACAAAATCTTGCTTTTATATAAATTAGTCATGCAAATAGGCTTGAGGATGTTACAAAATTAATTAAAGGGTTAAATAGTAAATTTTTTCTCTAAATTCATTTTTGGTATAATGTTCTCCTTTAATTTTTGAAAATGTGTAATACACTCTTAAATAACAAATGATAACTTTAATCCTTAGTTGACTAAAAATTATTGAAAAGGGCCTTAAAATTATAAAAATAGACCAAGAAAATTATTTTGATCATTCTGCATATTTTTTTATTTGTCTATATTTTTGGATCTTTTTCTATAATTTTTTGTTCAACTAACATTCAAAAGTAACTTTTATTAATATTTAGAGTGATATTGTTCTTCAACTCTTGATTAAATCTATAAGTATGAAAAGAAAATAGTAGACAATACTACTTATTTATAATTGATATAATATCTAAATGGGAGGAAAATTTGATTTGAATTTGACAACCTTATTTAAATTATAGATCATCAAAACTATATTGGTAAAAGTTTTAAAATTCAAGTATACTTTTTTAAGATCTATGAAATTATATTAAATATTGTCAATTATATAATTTTTAAACTCAAATAAATATAAAAAAGAATATTCCTTTTTAAACTTATAATCTTTTTTATAGCCAACCCATTTATGATTTATTATAGATTATAATTTTTTCAAATAGAGTATTTATTATTTGCTTTGAAAAAAGTACTTTGAACAATTTGGAGTACTTAAAAGTGACACATGTTACAATTTGGAGTGTACACAAAATGACAAATGACATTCAAAATTATACATATTAAAATAATTATTTACCTAGTTAATTTAAAACTTTCTCGCAACCTCTTATTAAAATATTTTATATATGAGATCAATTTAAATAATTGAAATAGCTTTGAAAATTTGAATTATATTTAGTATAAATAATTACTCGAGTAATTTTAAATTTCAAAATTTGAAATAGAATCTATCTTTGAAATTCAAGTCAATACATCTTCAAATTAAATGAGATAAAATTTAATTACTTAAAATAAGATGCCAATCCATCAATGTAAATATTTAAAATCATATTTAACTAAATTTAGCATATATAAATATATATGTGTTATATATGTAAGTTTATCTATAAATATTTAAAAATTTTGTTTAAACCTATTTACAAATTAACAATAAAACCTAGCTCCTTATGCATAAAATCACGTATGAGATACATACAAAGTTATTAAAAAGAATTAGGCTGACTCTTATAAATCTGACCTTTAAAGGCTCAATTCATAAATCTACTTTTTTTTTAAATAGGCATTTTTCTCATATTAAACTTTTACTGATAGGTTTTAGAGCTAAGCTTGAAAGTCCATGTAGTTTTTTTTAAAAAAAGTAAAAAAAATTAATTATACTAATATATATATATATATATATATATAAATTGAATTATACGGATATATATATATATAGATTATAAAGTTCCTTAATTAAACATCTAAAGACAATAATAAATTTTGAAGTATAATTAAAATAATACGAACCCTAGGATATAGTATAAGCTATACAAGTCCTAATTTTCTAACATCTAAAATGTAAATGTAATATAAAAATATTTTGATAGAAATGTATCTTTAACTAAAATTTTTAATATGATTTAAAATTAATTAGTTTAATATAACATATATTCAAAATTTAACTGAAAATATTTTTTATTTTGATATGAATCAGAGGCATCCAAAACTACTCTTGGTCTATTTTCCTGCTCAAAAAATAATATAATATTGCATTACTTAAAAGACAAGGTATATAAATAAAAAACGCCTCGATATATATAATAAAAATAAATAAATTTCATTATTAAAAATATATCATAGTAAAATTTTTTTTAAAAATAAAAATGTAATTTTAAAAATAAAAAAGCATGTTTTAAAAATAAATAAAATAATCAAACTGAAAATACAATGGAAATAAATATTAAAAATAATTAAATTATGTTTAAAAAATTTATCATAAAAATGAAAATTAATAATACTATATTATAATATCTAAAAAAACATAATTAAATAATATAATAAAAATTTAAAGTTTCTAAACAATCTTAATAGATCAGAATTTAGATTTAATACTAATTTTAGTATTTACATTTATATTTATTAGAATTATATAATATCTTTTGATATTTTATTAAAAATCCTAATTTATAGATTATATCTAGTAAATGAGTAACTAAATGAGAGAAAATGCTATAAATACGAAGATATTGTATAATTATCTCATAACTAAAACATAATTTGAATTTTAAGTAGATAGATTTCTATATTTTAATAGTTTATTTTCCAAATAGGACCAGTCAAAATACAGCTAAGATTTAATTTTATTATTGTACAAAATATAACATAATATGATTACTCCATTTTAAATTGTTCGATTTAAAGTTTAAATAGATGATGCTAGATAAAATAAAATAAAAATGATAAATCATCTTAAACCTAGTGTTACACTCTGAACAAATCAAATAAATAAGTTTAAAAAATTTTTTTATTTGATAGACGAGTCATACATATTAAATAAATATTTTATTATTTTCAAAAACTTGTTATATTAAATAAAATTTTACTTTTACTTTTCTAATTACCTTAAAATAATTTCATATATTAAATAAGATACTCAAGAACTTGTTATATAAAATAAGAATATTTAATATATGTACACAATCTTTATATATATATTAAAAAATATTAAATAGTCTATAATTAAAGTTTTCAAATAGATCAGAAAGAACTAAAATATGGTATTATCTTAAATATGCTAAATAGGGTTTTCAAAGAATAAATTCAGAACATTTAAACACATACCAACCAAGTAATTCTCATGTGTTGCCTTTCCATCTGTAAGTTCTGGATTGTTAACCCAAAATAATGAATGAAACTTGTTTTGGGATGCAACTTCACAATAGTAGAGAGCATGAAGCTAATCTTATAAGGATTATCTATTGTCATATATGATCCAGAGCATTAAAAGGCCTCTAATTTTGAAATTTCATATAGCATTGTTGTCCTATAGATAGGATGAGTATAATCTATTTAATGTAATTGATATCCAATTAGACAAAAGATATAAACACTTAGTCTAGCACCCTAAAAAACTAATTCAATACCATTAGATTCTTTGAATGTATTTTTACTTGACAGTCTCCAAATATGAATCATTATAACAGCAATGTACCAATCTTTTTTGTTGTGTTGATGGTGCAAATCACATGAATCTCAAATGTAGAAGTCATTGATAGTATGAATAATAGTCAAGAAGAGAACAAACCTAGTGCGATTAGAGAGTGAGTCAAATGTGGAGATGTGCAATGTGCTATTAGTTTAACCTATTAATTTATAATTAAATAAAGCTAAATTGGGAGAGAAAATTAAGATTTTTATTTAAAATCAAGATAATAGATATTAAATATTTATTTTTGTGAGTATAGATATTTAAGGTATTCGAATTTTAACAAACTTCACTAGAGTCTTTTCAATATATTAATATTCTCCAAAATTACGAGGATATATCTAAATACTCAAACACAAATTTCTTTTTTTAAAATATTTACACACACACACACAAATATATATATTAATTTAAATTTAAATTCTACCATATATATATATATATATATATAATTGATTATATGACACTAGATTTTTGGCATATGTTTAGGATGGATGAAAACTTTAAATAGATAGATATGAATTTAAATTTAAATATGATCAGATTTGAATTTTAAATATGTAAAAAATAATTTTTATATACATCCAAAATTTAATATTCATCCCGCTTCTAACTCCAAATCTGAATAATATTATATATATATATATATATTAATATATATATATATATATTACAAAATAATAAACCATCCTGAACCTAACTTCAAATCTAATTCCGAATGATAGAATCATAGAAAAGGCATCCTGAAACATAAAATTATAGTAAATTTAAAAATAAACACATGATATTTCTTCTAGTCTTTAACCCCACTTTCACATATATAATGATTATTCAATATCTACATTTTAAATTAAGTAAAGTTTTAAAGGATATTCTATATTGTGATTCAGAAAAATTATTTTTAATATTGGTTCCATATTCACTATTCATTTTTCACTATAGGTCCCATATCCACCTTATTATAAAGCTTTTACAATCTTTTATTTTTATTTAATATATAATAGTTAAGAAAATTACTTTGAAAAATATAAAAAAAAATAGGTCAATAACCATCTGACAGTAAATATAATAGAGGGGAGATAATTTGTTTATGAATAATTTGATCACGATTTTAACTGTAAACCATTGAATTATTGCCCTGTTGGGTTTGATGAATTGAACTAATGATAATTATTATTAATATCAATATAAATATAATACACATTGGCCAAAAAAATTACTCTTTTCACTCATATTATAAGACACTTTTAGAAAAAATTTTACATGCTAATAAGTCTTATTAAATACACTTAACAAACTTATTTTTTCAAAATAAAAATATAAACTTTCAAAAAACACCCTTCATTTAATAACCTTAAATACACTTAATTAGTATTAAATAGAGAGAAAGAAAGGGTAATATTGAAATAAACCTATTTAATAAAACCTTAATCTTTTTAAAATATCTTATATTTTGAAATGACAAATTTCACCTAAAAATATTTTATAATTTGAGATGAGAGGAGTATAATAGATCATTCTATTTATAACTAGTAGAACTCATTTCTCAAGTTTCATATGGTCTATAAATATTCACCTAAAATATTTTATATAATCATTATTCACTTGTTTTCACCATTCAATAAAATGCATCATATGATTTAGGAAAAGTTGGAAATTTTAGAGAAATTGCAGTACTATCAATATAAAATTTACAATAAATTATATTTATTCACAAATCATAAATAGTACAACTCATTCACCGAGTTCCATGCAATTCAAAAAATCCACCTGATCAACATGTAATTATTACATGACTCGGTAAAATGCATTATAAGTTTTACAGAGGAATTGGAAATTTTACAATACTATTTATGATCTGACTAAATTAATTCTTCTATATCATTAATTCAAAGAGACAAAGTATATGATACAAAAAGAATATAATTGTGGGTGAAACACATATCCTAACTTAATACAAAACCCGAAAAAAAACCTCAATACAAAACATTTTTTACGTTTCCCATTAAATACCTTTGTGAATGTAAAAGATTTAAATTAATAATTTGACTGTCCCAAATGCACACAACAAATTGATGAAGATCAATTTTGCTGTTTAACTCTCACAATAACAAGCACAGAAACGTAGCTCTTCCAACTCCGAGGACACGGATGCTACAGGCATTTGGCCTCGATCTCTTCAAGCGTAAGGCCCTTGGTTTCTGGTACAACAAAGTATATAAAGACAAGAGAGCACAGGCCTATCACACAAAATATGTAGAACAACATTCCAGCTCCCAGCAATGCCTGTCATGAAACTCACAACATTAGAGCAATGCTTATACATGAATGTCAGGCGTTGGTTTTTTTTTTTTTTTGTTAGGTTTTCTGTGGATAGTGTTATTACTTTCTGTTGAATGAGATTCCTTTTCATATTCAAAAAAAAAAAAAAATGAATGTCAGGTACAATACAATTATATGGAAAGCTTCGAGGTTATTCCCTGTTTGATATATGGAAAAGTGTTTTCTTCTACCTATCAGACATTGCATGAATGTTTTGAAAATAAAAATCAGATGAAAAGCTTCTGAGTATGTCAAAACTCAAAAGATATCTAAAGGTCAAAATACTCGACCTCTCGATCTGCCTTGCTCTCCATAGATCTACCAAATGTCAGAGTATGAAGACTCGGTGAAGTGGCGTGTTCAGTTTTGTTGTATGATTGACCTAATTTAAAATGATTCGGCCATTACATGCAGCATGTTTTACAAGTCTAATAGTTCCACTTAACACAAATAGTGGTCTTTAAATTGCTCTTGTGGCATCAGAGTTTGAGACAAATAAGTTTCAATGAGATCACTTAAAGGCCACGATGCTTAACCAGACATACATTATCCTAATTCAACAGAACTCATCTGGCAGCAACTAGTCGAAGTTTCATAGGTTAAAATACAAATTATGTCCCTAAACTGTAGAATGATGGCTTTAATGTCTTTCCTTTCAAATTTGGTCCTCACACTTTCCATTGATCATCACACTATAGTTAGAGATCACCTTTCGTTGAATCTAAATAAGAGTTAGAATTGTTCAAGAAAAATCATAAAATTAGTTCTTCCTGAAAGATTTTGCATTGTAATTGCCTTAAAAGTGAGACATCTCAATGATGACAAAGCAACTTCAGAACCAGCAGTAAAATTCGAAGGTTGAAGATCTCATCACCTTTAATGGAGAAAAGGCAAAGGTGACGAGAGCATTGGCTCCAAAATTGACAAGTATTGCTATACTGAGTCCTCTCCCTCTTAGGCGCAATGGGAAAACCTCCGATATCATAAGCCACCCAATTGGACCAAACGATATCTGCAAGAACACAATGAACTATGAAGTTATATGATACACAGATTTGAAGTAAAGGATGTATAACATATGAAACCCAGACGGCTAAGTTCAAATGAGGGTTCCAATACAGTTCAAGCAACCCTTATGATAGAACGATGACATAGAGGAATCCCATTTCGCAAGTGTTTGCGGGTGATGCTGGGTATACTGTTTGTGACTGCCATAGTCAATCAACAGTTCGTTATGCTGGGATTCACGCTTAAAAGAGAAGATTTAGATGCATCTTTGTTTACAAAATGAATTAAAGCCCACTCATATGAGACATAAGCAACTGACAAAACTAGGATACTTATCGCAACAGGAATACCACTAGTCCCTCACTAGATTCACTGCCATGCTTTTGCTCTTCTGCTACTTGCTCAATATTTGAAGTCCACAAGCTTAATAACTAAAGAACAAGATCGCAGCATAACCCAAAAAAAAAAAAAAAATCACAATCATGTTTCTATTGTATCAATGCTTTATATGAGATTGTTGGGCTTAATTAAAGTCCTCCCTTGATGTTGACAATAATTTACAAAGGCCAAGTGAAAGGTCGATTGATCAGTCATATTAAATTAATTAACATTAGTTGTTAATATTAATTTCGTTTAATTAACATAGTCAGAATTTGTTTTGACTCAAATTCAAATTAATTTAAGTCAATCTTGATTATTTAATTAAAATAATCAAGATATTGTAGGTAGTGGAAGGTATAGAAAATCAGTCTCCATAAACGTTAAGACATGTTTAGACCCACTTTAATAAAAGGGCTTTTGTGAGTTAGAGAAGACACTGAAAAATTTCTTTGCTCTGCCCTCTTTCTCTCTTCTCCACTTTTCCCCTCAGGTGGCTCTGCTGTGGAAATTAGACCCAACTCCATCCACGTAATCCAGTCTTACTGTGCAGTAAGCCCAGTGTCTAAAGCCTGCTGCAAACTGTCATCAAGTATTTATCACTAAATATAACAGAGATCTTTATCACACCCATTCCATCTAATATCTTAATCTGTTATCGCTGATCTTTTTACAATAGGTTCCATTCTTCATCATTGATGACAATTAATTCATAATTCTGATTTTGGTAAAAGAAGGGTTCTTCAATGTTCAGAATTGATTGTTTTCCTTTTTCCTGTTTTCTCGTGGGTTTTTTTTTTCCCCGTTTGCGCGGGGGGGGGGGGGATGGGGCATATGTCTGAATAATTGAATATCTCTCCAGTTCCAGTTTCGCCCCTTTCACTCCTTTTCAATTTGACAAACCAACTTACCTTCCTAAAGTCCTAATTTGATCAGTCATCATCATCATCATAACAATAATACAGGAGCAGTTAAAGAATGAAAAAATTGTAACAGGAATTAAAACGTAAAACAACACAAAAAAATATTTATAAATTTTACATACCTGATAACACCCCACGTACAGCAGAAGACCAACTATGGCAACAGTCAATGCATCATTCAGGAACAAGTAATATGAACCCAGAAGGAACAAGGCTATAACCTGTCAATCAGAAAACACCATTTATGAGTTTAAAAAAAAAAATATGGAAGATTTCTAGCGTTTGAAATCTTGCCCCTTGCTGATTCCATTTTCTTTATTTAGAGACAGTAATTGCCGCTAAGCATGAGGGATTAAATCCAGTAATCCACAGATAGGAAATAGAAATGAGAAAACTTTCCAATCTCAGGAAACTGTCAATACCAAAGGACTTACCATCCCTGAAACCCCTCCAAGCAGTAAAGGTCTCCTTCCGAGACTATCAACAACGACAACAGCAGCAGCAGTCATAATTAACTACACAAACAAATATGGAAACAACAGAGCTAAGTGTCTTCTAGAGGGGTGGAAGGGAGAAAAATCATCCTTTGTCCGTTTTTGTAGCTGACTACAGACAGTTAAAAAACAAGTTAACTAGAAAGACTTTGTTTTATATTTCAGATACATTTGAAGCATAAAAAAATCTTAATTGCCAACACAGCTTTATTATTATTTTTCGAAAACCAAAAGGAAATTTATAGCTGAGAGAAAGGAAAAGTTGAAAAATGAATAGAACATGAGAGAGAGTGAGAGAGAATAAAAGAAAGAAAATATTGAATTTTTTTTTTTAGTTACGAAAATATGAAATTTTTGTTTCAGCATTCTTTTCTAGTTCTGAACATGAATTTTGCATATGCATCCCCCTGCTCCCATCCACAAAAAAATCAAGAACAAAAAAAGACCAAGTCTAAAGTCTTTATAACACCTTGAAAGTACTCAATGACAAGTCACACGCATGGAATTTACAGTTTAGGCTGACATTTCATATACAGCTTAATAGTTTAGCATGCTAATAGAAACTTCACTTACACACACTACATGAGACTGTCAGCAAAAGCATAAAATATAAAATACAATTTGAATTAACATGATAAGAAAAACGATGTGTCTACCTTCAGTAAGGCAAGCAGAATAGAGACTCGAGTAGCATCATGGGCTGCAGAGATTCCTGCACTCTACCAGTAGCAGGTTTAATTAAAGTACAACGCAGGAAAACTACTATGATGTATTGTTAAAAGATAGGCTCTTTGTTAATTGTCACCGAGTTCCCTCCCTCCAACTAGATTGTCTTAATACCTGAAGGATTGATGCAGCGTAATAGAGGACACTTGGTTGTCCAGTGATCTGTCATCAATTCCACTTTATAAGCACACCAACTCTAGGCATCTTCAATCATTTGTATTCTGTTTCTTAAGGAATATAATTACCTGCTGAAACAAAAGGAGTCCTGCACCAATCACAACAGCTTTGAAGCATTTTCCTCGGAAAATCTCCCCAATTGTGACTTCTTTCTCTTCACCTACATAATAAAGCTCAGCCATAATCTCCTCTACTAGTTGAGGAGCAGAGTCACCAATAGCTGGACCCCTAAGGCGGTTCAAAGAAAGAATTGCAGCCTCCTTTAAATGTTGGTCATATCCCTTTCTTTGTATAGCACGTAAAAGTAACCACCTAGGAGAATGTGGAAGCCAACACATCCCAATTCCCATTATGACAGCAATTGGAGTACTAGCACCATACATATAGCGCCAGCCAGAAACCATGTCAACAAGAATACTACCAAACCCAAAGCCTACCTGCACAAGATTCTGGACATTTACCACTTGCAATGCAGGCAGACATTTAGGGTGGAAAGTCTATATGACAAATTATAATGCTCTAGAACAAGAGAAGGGATGATGCAAAGCATCATTAAAGGTAATGCCATGGGCAAACTTCATTGCACATTTAGATCAGGGAAGAGATAAAGAGCTTACTATCATTCCAAGAACTATAAAGAACTCTTTGAGAGAAACTAATAGACCTCGTATCTGAGTTGGAGCTGTCTCAGAAATATATATTGGAGCAGCATGCATGGCCTAAAAGAGATGAAAAGTTTCATATCCAGCTTAGAATTGCATAGACAGCATTGAAATATATGAATACATATCTTTTAATCTTTTTCTATACAAAATTGTATTTTAGAAAAAGAAGTCTCATAACAAGTAAAGATAATCTGTTCTCTACTGTTATCTTTCTGGCACAAGCCAATTCTCTGTATAACTTTTCTGAATAGTCAAATACTCAAATCCCATATTTGTATGCTTAAAAAATGATGATACCAATACGATTACTTAAATGTGTAGAACAGTTAAAGTGTAACTTATATTTTGGAATGAACATAATATTAGAGATGTATTGACATTTAAAAAATTCTTCAAGAATTTTTGTCCAAGTTATATATTTATATGCCAACCCCACATGGTGGAATAAGACCTCTTGTTGCTGTATATTTATATGCGAGTGTAGAATAGAAACTGTGATAATTATGCAAAGGATCCCATATTTATATGCTTAATGTAAGTATTACACCTGGTATAGAGAAAATGGAAAACCCAATTCTATTCAATTCGCTTATAGCACATATCTTGTCATCATTTATTTACAAGCTATTAAGGATGCAAGTCATCAAAAACAAACTTCCAAATTCTGTTGCTTCAATATGATAATAGTAAAATGAATAAGAAATGGTAGTCAAGGTAGTTATAATGGTTATGGCTGTTAATTAGTTAGTTTGCTAATGGCAGATGGTTGTTAGATGCTAAGGACCAATGGGGTCCATAAAAGATATGACGGGTCCTCTTGAGATATGAGGCAAACCTACAATCGACCCAAGTTTTAATTCATTGGAAGTATTCTAACCCTGAAGATGCTACATGAGGACCCCCTTCTTCCATCTGGGAGCAGTTCCCTTATTTTCTCATTGCTTAGACTTTTCAGTTTCATCTGACCTTGTGGACAAAGATTGCTTTATGAGGGAATAATTGTTAATTGTCATTAGCAGTTAGCAAAGGGATATTAGCTACATGAGAATTAGCGCCTGATAACTAAGTGTATAGCCCCAATTGCTCTTAGCAGAATAAATATATATATATATAGGGGTAGTCAGGGTATTCTGTCCCAGTTTAAAAAGTAATACTTAGATCATCCCAATAGCAAGATTCTATATTTATTCTGTGTGTATCACATGCTTAGCCTGCAACTGGTATGGGGAGTATGATCACATGTACAACCATATTATTTGTATTTCTATTCTATCGAGTAACAAAGCATCTTTGAGCTTAAAAGGATCATTTGATTTAAGAAAGGCGTACCAGTCCTATTCCCATACCATACACAAAGCGACCGATCACCACAATAGGAAAACCAATAGCTAGTGCTGTTATAAGTGCTCCAGCAAGATAGAGAGATGCAGCCACAATTAATTCCCTCTTTCTACCTTCACATCCAATTCGTCACTTAAAAATTACTGGGAAAGAAAAATATGGAAAATGTATATAGAATTGTTATTATTAGAATGGTCACATCACCTAAGAAGTCAGCAACATTGAAGGCCAGCACAGAGCCGGCCAAAGCCCCATATAATGATCCACTAGTCTGCAAAAGTTATCATCAGTTTGAAAACAAAACATGAGTGACAGGGTCTTATTCTCAGTTGTGTAGAACAAAATAATAAATATATTGAATCAGAAAAAGAGTAAAGGAAGAATCTAGCCACATCTATTGAAAAAAAAAAAAAAGCTTGGAGCCAACTTGTAACTTACAATGAGACCTATTCAACAAAACTCAAGTTATACCATGATGTCCCACTTAAAGTTGGTGACTGCAAAAAACAGAGATAATAGTCAAGTGAAAAATGAAAAAGATTCACCTTCAATTCACAATAAGGGAATGGAGAGGAAAAAAAAATATAAATTCATGTGAGTTTTCATAATCTCTATAGCATATTATTCTTAAAGATTAGTAAACAAATAATCGACAACATAAAGTAGCATGATTACCAAGAAACTTCTACCTAAAAAATTAAGCTAAATTAATATGAATGAAGAGGAAATACCATTCTAACTCATTCAGTATTACAAGAATGTTTCTGACGATTTTCCTACACCTATTGGCCTATATATGAAAAGTGAATTTTCTAATTATCAGTTTATCACCCAAAATTAGAGTTGGCATAGGATCCATTAACTTTCTTGGGGAAGGAAAAAGTAAACACCCAACTTTAATTTACTTGTCGATTTCCCACTTGATTTAGCATACAACAAACTGATTACTTTTGCCTTTATAGGTAACAGCAAAAATATGCTAAATCAGCATGCTTCCTGCCACCATTTGGTGTTGACTCTGTATGAAAATAAAAATCTCCGACCCTGACTTATATCTTTCTTTCCTTTGGCTTTTCTTTTTGTTTGTCTTTTTTTCCTTTCAAGAGCAGTACAGCTATGGAGGACAAACAATCCTCCTATATCAATAAAAAGCACAGAGAACTACAGATGATATTTTACCAAATAAAAATTTACAGAAACATCAAAAATCATCTACCTGGATAGAAATCGTCGCACACGATGTGGCACCAATATCATAGCCATAAAGTAGCCCTCCAAATGCAGCGAAAAGAAATCTGAGATTTTAAATAAAACAATTACGAAAGCTGGAAAAAACTTTATGGATTTCATTTGCTTTCATATATTTAATGCACTTGAGAGGACCAAAGAATCACTATGGTTATGCTCAGGGCACACTATTCTTTCCCTTGCATCTTCTATGCATAGATGGTTTTCTAGGCCTTTTTATGATGTTTGGCCAATGGTTATACTCAGGGCACACCATTCTTTAATATGTCGAAAGGCTGGAAAACTTAATCATATCAATGTGGACTTTCTTCTTTTGTTATAGTTTGCTTCCTTTTATATTCTTTCAGTATCTGTACCTTCCCCTTGTCCTGATGATAAGTAAATAATAAATACAAGCATTAGAAAATGAAAAAGAAAAAGAAAAACCATATTGTAATTCATAAAATATAGTTATTTTGCTTCTTTCTTGGCCAATAGAAATCCAGTTTGAAACTCGCTGTTTAGTAAGACTTAACAGTAAAATTATTTCCATAAATAGGATGCTAAGACACATGAACCATAACCAAGCATATAAAATGAAATAGCTCAGCTGAACATGAAACCACAAAGATATCACTAAATGAAGGGATGTAAATGATAACAAATAGCTCGTTGTATCTTCAAGCCTTCTCGTCATATGAAAATATTTCCACCATGAGTTAGAAAATTAACTGCAGAGTTTAAATGCGGCCACTATTATTCATTTAAATAATTATCAGATGCACAGAAAGATACTAGCAACGCATGATAAAACATACGGAAGGATTGCTGCATAGGCAGAATAGTTTTCAGGTCCATGAATCCCGTGAAGAAGAGGCTCCTGAGCGCCGCCATTATCATGAGATGATGTTATTTCCTGATGAAAAAAGAAACGTGTCTAACAAAATATGAAGAAGAAAAGCCACCTAAAAGCAACAGTGATTTTGATTGCTAGTAAAACAGCACGTGCCTTTAGGTGCCTTTGGTTATTTGTGTTCAGTTTTCTGCTTAAAATTTCGAGCATGAGATGGTCTCTATGGTCTCTAAATAGGCTAGTTGTCTGTATTTTATAACTAATACTTGTGTATTTTAAGTTCTTAGCTCCTTAATGATGGAAAACCAAAAAGTTCAAATGCAATTAATATAATTAATCTCTATATTACTCCAGAAAGAGCACAAAATTGCCGAATGACATGCTTAAAACGAAGAAAAACAAACAGAAGCTATCGAGCTCAATGACAAGAAAAATAGAACTAACTCTCTCTCTCTCTCTCTGAGTATGATTCAAGACAAATCATAAAGATAGTTAGAAACCAAAATTCACAGCAGTTCAAATTTCAAGCACTTAATCCTACAATTCATATGTTCAGAAACCAAACCAATTGACGAAGGACATATTGAACGTGAAATATCCGACAAAAGAGTCGTTACATACAGAGCAGGAAAGTGGAGTAAAACCTTGTCGACAGAAGGCAAAGTTTTCCGAGGAGGTTCAGACGCCATTGTTGTAGACCACCAAGGCTGAGAAAGACGCGCACCAAAGTCGGCTTATAAGGGGGAATTATATCGGTTAGATTCCGTAGAAGCCAACGGATACACAACTGGAAGAGATTAATTGATATTGGTTAAATTATGACTGCGTTGGTTATAATTCTACTTATCGACAAAAAAAATGATAATTATAAATTTATGAATTTTTTAATATTTTTTTTATCAACTTCAAGTTTCATATTTTAAAGCATTGTAATTAAATTTTATTAGGTACTCTTTTTTAATTTTGAGACTTCATGAACCCAGAAAAGTTATTATAGGCATTGACATTGCATAGTTTTTTTTTTTCTTTGGCCAGTGACATTGTATAGTTCAAGGATATAATTGTCATACAAAAAAAAAAATCTCTTATCTAATTTTTGAATTTCATTTCATTTTACATGCTAAATAATTCTTATGAAGTTGAACTGTCAAGATAAGTTTTAAAAGGAGAATTACAATTAAGAACTTGATAAAAAATTTATTAATATAAAGACTAATATTAAATGAATTGTTATTAAATGAAAAATAAACTTTTTTTTTTTTTTGAATGAAATTTGTCATTATCTCTCGTTTGCAAACAAATTTTTTGACAAATTCTTAAATGTAATTTTTCCATTTTTAAATGCCAACGGTGCGCACACACACGCATGCATATATGTAAAAGAAATTGATTTTTTTTTAAAATAGATTGAATATTACGAACCTGAATTTGGTGATTGGTACAACCTATTTACTTAATAAGTGTTTCGCGTGATATAATAACAATTATTAATTTAATCAAATGGTTGTTAGGGATTTCATAATATAATATTTAAAAAATATTAAATCTCATCTCTCATCAAATTTTAAGTATCTTAAATTTTTGGAGGGAACAACGTACATGGAAGGTGTTCTAATCATGAAAGTTGTTCCAAATTTTTGAAAAGAATTATATTTTAATAATTTTTAAACATTGATAAAATTCTATCATTATAATTAAAGTAATTATTGAATAAGTAGATTTGGTTCATTTATGAGTTATTAACATTACTTTGAATTTCATATAATGTACTGTGGCATAAATCAATAATGGGAAGACCATGAGATGTAAACTAAAAACAAGAAGCTAAAGAAGGAGAAATGGTATCCACACAACGAATGGTTGGAGGGAAATTTCAGTATTATTGAGTGACACTTTCCAGACTTTCAGCGAAGGGGACACATCATTATTGATTGGAGCACGTGGTGTTTTCGGTGAAAATATCTCATCCACGTCCTCACAAAGACAAGGTACAAAATTCCAAAACTAACCTTTCCACGTATTGAAATTAACCTTACTGCTAATTTAGAGGGTTTAAGAGATTAGATGGGATTAGGACACTCTCATCTCGTGTTTCATCTCAAAAAATAATTTAGAGTTAAATTTTATTTCATGTCTCATGTTAGAAGTTGTTTCGTTCCAATAGGAGTTGGAATATCCTAACGATCACTCTTAATTGTTTTAATCACCTTTGTATCTTCAAATAACTAATAATACTTAACTAATATGTACAATAAATCATACTTATATATATATGATTAATCAATTGAACTTTAACACATAAATAAATAAATATAAAGACATGAGACATCCTAATATAAAAACTCAACTGCATGCGTAAGCTATTTGATTAGAGCCTATTAAATTCATATTATAATAAACAACAAATGGGCCTAAGTGTAAATTCAAAAAATAAACTCAGTAGATCACTTGAATGGGAACAATCTAGATTTGCATTTTTAATTCAATATCAATAATTATGAGAAAATACTCCGTAATTTGCTTGGTTAAACCAAGTGTCACAAAATAATGCAAAATTAAATAAAGTAAAAATAAAGAAATAATATAAACAAATAAACGATACAAATAACATAATAATTAACATATATAATAAAAGAATAATATAACCAGGTACGTCGAAAAGACCATTTCAATTTTAGCATCCCGAGTGCTTCATGAACAGTTTGACGATTTTGCAAAGAGTGTGTGGAAAGAGGAAGACCAGTGGTCAGAGCAGTTAGATTCATTTACTAAGGAATATCAACGGTGGGATAGTGAGGTTTTTGGGCACACAGGTCGAAGGAAAAGGAAGCTTATCTGTCTACTGGGTGGTATCACCCGCGCACCAACTTGGGGTGGAAATAAAGATCATCTTGTGAAACTTCAAGAGCAACTCTGGTTAGAACTGGAGAAAGTCATTATTCAAGATAGCATCTTATGGGCAAAGAAGGCTAGAAGTAATTGGGCATTGCTAGGGGATGAAAACTCACATTACTTTCATTGCTTGGCAAATAGTAGACAGCGTGCTAATAAGTTTGGAGCTTTATCTGATTTTGAGGGGTTGTGGAGTTATGATGAGCAAATCCTTAAATGTATGGCTATTGATTATTTCTCCAATTTATTCATTGATGATAGCAGGGCCTATTACCCACTTAAATGTTCAGTCTCTTTTCCCCTATAAGTGAATCAAAGTTGATCTCCCTCGGTGGAGACATTGCGGATTCTGAGATATAGGAGGCAATTAAGGAGATGGGTGCTATGAAAGCTCCATGACCAAATGAGTTTGGAGCTTTATTGTATCAAAATCAATGGAGTGTGGTAGGACCCTTCGTTTGTAAGACTATAAAATATGTATTTTTCTAACCCGTTGATTATTGCAGAGATCAATAAGACATTACTTGTGTTAATTTCGAAGAAAATCCTCTAGAACCGAGCATTATCTCACCAAATCAATGCAGCTTCGTCCCGGGCCGCCATAGCTCTGAAAATATTATCGTTGCCCAGGAGGTGATTCATTCTATGGATTATTGGGGGGGGGGGGGGGGGGAGGATTCATGGCCATCAAATCAACCTTGAGAAAGCATATGATCGTGTGAATTGGCAGTTTCTCCGGTCTTGCTTAGATGAGTTTACGTTCCCAAACATATCTTGGAGCTAATTATGAGGGAGATCCTATTTCCCCTTATCTCTTTGTGATTTGCATCGAACGTCTTGCCCACATTATTCAACAGAGTATAGTGAAGCAGGAATGGCAGCCTATCAAGTTAGGCAAGACTAGACCACCCATATTCCCTTTATTTTTTGCCGATGACATTTTATTGTTTGCGGAGGCCTGAATGCCTCAGGCTCTGGCTATTAAAGAATGTTTGCATGCTTTTTGTGAAAGCTCCAGAATGAAGGTGAATGTGAGCAAGACCAGAATTTATTTCAGTAATAATGTTCATAATGGTAGACAAGAGTAGATTAGCGCACTTCTTGCCTTTACAAGAACAGTCCTAGGTGTGGCTCTGCATTGCAAGCGTGTGAACAGAGGAACTTCTGGGGCGGTAATAAATAAGGTGAAGAAAAGATTTTCTAGCTGGAAGGTTACGGCTTTGTCTATGGCTAGAAGGGTAACTCTCACTTCCTCAATCACGTCTGCTATTCCAGCATATCCTATGTAAACATCCCTCCTGCCGATTAGTACGTACAATACTTTAAATTGATGTAATAGGGATTTCATGTGGGATAATACAGATGATGTTAAGAAGAGCCACCTGCTTTCTTAGGGCCAGGTTTGTGAGCCAAAGAAATAGGGAGGTTTGGGGATCCGGCAAGCGAGAGGTCAAAATCAAGTTTTCATGATGAAACTTGGCTGGAATCTAGTTAAATGGCCTAATGACTAGTGGGTTCATGTTATTCACGCTAAATATATGTGTGGATATGATAAAATACCTTCTATCGATACAACTGACCAGGGTTGAATGTGCGGTCTAGGATAAAAGGCGTCTAGCATAAGGTAGAAGAAGGTTTGGAAAAGACAGGGACATTAATGAATGGAAATGGGAGAAGAATGGTAACTTCTCTGTGAAATATGCATAAGACATTGTGTGCCCCACAAAGAAGGACACCAGCATCTCCTAGGAGAAATGTTGAAAATTAAAGGTCCCTTAAAGATGTGAAACGTTCCCCTGGTTGATAGTTCACAACAGACTTTTGACTAATGAGGAGAGACAAAAGAGGAAAATGACTGCTAATAATACTTGCTCATGGTGTTCAGTACAGAGTGAAAACTTACTTCATGTGGTTTGTGATTGCTCCTCAACCCATGACCTCTAGCTCTCTTTGGTGAATCCATCAAAACGCCCTATTTTCTTCTCATTAGGCTTGAAAGACTAGGTTAAGTGGAATTTACGCTATTTAGGGAATGAGAATTATGATGATTGGAGTGCAATCTTCACTATCACAAGCTGGCTTTTGTGGAAGCAGAGGAATAATCGCATCTTTGAAGATAAAAATACTTTTAAAAAAGGTATCCAAGTTGAAGCTATGGCGATAATGAAGAGCCTGGGTGATCTAAATGTGTAAGAAGTTGAACTGGTTTGGACGAAAATCGATGAGCACTGTGAGCAAATGGAAGCTCCACCTGAGGAATGGTGCATGATTAATGTAGATGGAGCATTTTTCTCATGGTCTTTGAAAGGAGGATGTGGTGGTGTTATTCGCGACCACCGTGGCAAGCTTATACAAGGTTTCACATTCAATCATACTTTCATTGATAGCCTCAACGTTGAGATTTGGGCTATCCTCACAGGAATTAAACTTGCTTAGGACTGTGGCACACATTGGATTATGATTGCTTCGTATGCTCAAGAAGCAGTGGAACTCATTAATGGCGGAGATATTAGTGCTCATCAGGAGATCTTATTAAGGAGATCTAATCGCTTTTGCAACAAGAATGGAGTGCATATGTCATTTTCATATATAGATAAGCAAATAGAGTGGCTAATTTCTTAGGTTGACATGCCACACAAAAATAGCCTGGTTTCTATCAATTTGATGAGATGCAGGAGATATCTCATCTCATGGAACAAGATTGTATTTGCTCTAGCAGCATTTGAGCTGCTCCTTTGTTTATTAAAAAAGAATAATATATAATATCAGGATGGGTGCATCTGGAGTTTTGCCCCATCCTGATCCCTTTTCTGTTCTATCTCAATTTTTTTTGGGCTGAGACAAACTCATCCCAACATGATCAAGATAGATATGAGCCAATTGAGATAGATACAACTATAAACACCTCTACTTGTATCCATAAAAAGAAAAAGCCTTTGGACGGATTTAACTAGATCATTTTCATATTTTCAGTACATGTTGTCATACATAATCATATTTATTGATTTGATTATTCACTTGATTCAATGGTGATGCATTCATTATTATCACTTAAATACTTTTAAAAATATTATTATAATGCATATTTATGATAGCATTTCAGTGAATAATATATTTAAATAAAGCATATTATAATAAGGAATGTATGAACTTTTTAAATTTTTTGTCAAAGAATAGTGATTTTAGGGAAGACACGATTCTCGTTGATGAGAGGGAGGGGCTCCAATGCCATGAGTGGCTGAGCCACATTATTCTAAACGTGGGCAAATGCACTTCTCATTTTTTTTAAAAAAAAAAATTGTAAGTAGGAAGTGTAAATTTGTAACTTTGCATCTCCTATTTTTTATGTTTTGCACCTTTAAACTAAAGAAAAAATATTTTAACTTAAAATCTTATTAGATATGTAAGATTTTAATAATTGAAATAAGATATAAAGAGTTTATTTACATAAAAAACTATATTAATATATTTACTATAATTTTTTTTAAAAAATATGATTAACCTACTTATATTGTTATAATTTTAATTCTAGTATAATTATTATTTTTTAAAAAATTATTTATTTGTAAGTTAAATTAGCTTGGTAATGACTCTTCCACTGTGAGTGATTTCTTACCAGACATGAGCTGGCACTCGTCGCCACCATATAGGAGATCTGTTTCAAGACATTAGCCACTACTAAAGGCTTATATACACACTCATGCTTTTTAGGACAAGTAAACACACAGAGACTATTATGGCATCTTTAAACCAATTTTATAACCGGTTTAATTACAATTGATCTAAAAAGTGGATTTTTAAACTAGTTGGATGACCGGTTTAGAAAATAATAAACTTTTCTAAACCACTCATATCTTTTTTTTAGTATAAGTTCATGGAAAAATCATGTAAGGTAAAAAATGAATCATCTCATGTCAGAGTATAAAAGATTTTTGCACTCTAAGGGTAGGATATAAAAAATTTTAACATTTAAATTATAATTAAAAGCTTAACATGCCAACCATTTAGCATAGTAATTAGCTTCTCTCATCACATGATTAAAGGTGATCATTCAGTTCCTCATAACAAGTTCCTTGATTCTTTTGATGGTTTCAAAGAGAGAATAATTGGATAAGGTCACAAAAAAATCATGCAAGGGAAAAATGAGTCATGTCATATCAAAGTACAAAAGATTTCTGCACTTTATAGGTGGGATATAAAAAATGTTAGCATTTAAATTATCATTAGAAACTTAATACACAACCAGTTAGCACATTTATAAGCTTTTCTTGGCACATGATCAAAATGGTCCTTCAGTTCGTCATAGTGAGTTTTTTTTTATTCCTTTGATAGTTTTAACAAAAGAATAATTCTAAAAAAACTCGCGTTGAATGAGCATGATGAGAGCTTTCGAAGAGTCAGAATAAAAATTGATATTAGTAAATTTTCTATCACAACAGATGTTTAGGTCTTCAAGAATACTCATAAGTTTAGCAACAGTGCTGAGGTGATAACAAAGGTATTTCGTGAATTCTTTCATCCAATTTTCTCAATTGTTTCTAATGAATCCACCACAATCAACATCACTATTATTGCTGATTGACCCGTTAATATCGAATTTAATCATATTACCTTACTTTGGGGCTACCATCTGACTCTTAATCTTACACATTATAGAGAGATAATTAAATGTTGATTGAAGATTGAGATCATTAATAATATTTCGAGTGCATGAGAAGACGTTAGCTCTATTAAGAATATCTTCTTTAAAATAGATCTTTTTGCATTTTTCTTTTCACTTGTTCTAGCAAGATGTATGGTGGGAAAATTCAACTTAGACACATAAAGAAGTGGAAGCCTTATCCCCTTACTTTTATGATCACGTGTGCCAACACTAACAATCCAGAAAGTTTAGGTGGTGGGGGCATGACACATTGACACCTATATATAAAAGAAATTTAAATTAAACTGAGGGCAATGGATATGCATAGATTGTGGCAATTAAACTATCTAGTGTGTATTGGGAAATGAATTCTCTCTTGATTCTATCTTCTACGTTCAATCCTGTTCTATTGAAACATGTGGTATGATGGTATTTTTCTTTGGAAACATAAGCCTAACAAAATGTATGGTAGTAATGTGTTTTAGAGAATTGGGGAGGGGACAAGAGAGAATCTCGATCCCATTAACTAGAAAATAATTCCTTCATCTTAATTTATAAAATATTTTTTATGAAATTACACATTCCAATAAAATTTATTAAATATATTTTATAATACTGAATTTCTTATTAACTTTCAAAAATACTATTAATTAATAAAAGATAGCAATAATGAAGTTTATTTAAAGAGTGAAATAATAAGAGGTAATACTAAAATAATCATCATTAATGAAATTTTATTTTTTTCAAAATAGTTTACTTTTTCTGTTTTCAAATATAAGAGAAAATAACAAATTCACACAATTCAAGAAAATTGATCAAGTATACTAAACATGTCTGAAATTAAAAAATTATGTTTGAAATTAAAATTTTTGGACTAAATCTTCCCCATAATTAATGTGCATTGTGAAAATATACATTGACTTTATAAGAAACAATTTTAAAAAATGTGACAAATGTTCCTTAAAATTTGTAGTTTTGCTTGTAAATAAAAATAAAAAGTAGGATATAACTCACCTAAACTTTCTCATATCAAAAGAAAAAGCAAAAAAAAAAAAGGGACACATGTGATTTTTTTTAATATTTGAAAATGGAAAGAATATATTTTAGGATAACAAATTATCAAAAAAATATCTTATAAAATGGAATAGATGGAGTATATAATTTGAAATCATCAAACAATTTTTTTTTAAATTGGTCATATATTAAAGGCAAGAATAGATAGCATCAAATCATGGATTATTGGTATGAATATAAAAATATCAAATTTATATACATATATAGTGTTCACCCTACCTTTATTTCTCTTTATTAGAATTTTTATATTAAGTTTTAGAGGTTTCAGATCTATTTAATTTTTTCTTTTTCTTTTCTCTTTTTTTTATCTCTTGTTTTTTTCATCTTTCTTTTCTTTTTTTCTTCTTCTTGTTATACTTTTTTTTTTAAGTCTCAGAGGCATCTTATCTATTCAATTTATGCTTCTTCTTCTCTCTTTCTTTTTTTGTCTCTTATTTTTTTCATCTTTCATTTTTTCAAATTTTTTTATCCTCGATTAAACAGCTTTGATATCATATTAAAATTTTTATATTAAGTATGCTCAAAGATAATATATTTTATCAAAATAACTTAAAGATTTTGGTTAAATACTTTTTAAGCTTATATATTTATAATTTATTTTTTAATTTTTAAATATATGATTTTCTTTATTTTTTTAATACTCTTTATCCCCCTAGCAACCTTGCATGAACTTTATCAACTTTTCTCTTACAAGATTTTATTCTAAAAAAGTACTTGTGAAACATGTTACCTTGAAAGCATTAATAAAGGACTCAAATCCATAAAAGCCAATGGCAATACTACCTAGGCAATTCGTAGGAAGAGAAAATAGATGCTATAGCAGAACATAGGAATGCTATGAGAAGTAAGCTAGCAGATGCATTTGCTTTGGCAAAAAAGTCGTCAAGGTTCAAATTCAGTGTGTCGTCGAATATTCTGTGCACATCCTGGGATGCCCCAAATCCTGCTGCTGCACCGGACATTAACAGGTACGATATTACCTGTCCACCGCAAATCATCCTCACATTAAAAAATATTTTATATTTTTATAGAAAAAATTCTCATACAAGCAATTTTAATATGAAAATTTTTTGAAATCACACAATTACAATGAATTTCCATGTCCTTTTTTGAAGTTATCAATATTAAAGTTGTAAATTATTAGTAGAGTTGCTTAGTTGACAGTTAAATAGCAATAATATTGAGTTTCAAATTAATTTTATAATTTTATGGAATTTTTTTTATATTTAGATTGTTTGCGTGGGATTGGAGAGTAATTTTTCTTATTTTTGTTTCAAAGTTTTTTATTTATTTCATTATGAGTTGGATAAAAGGATGCCATCTTTTGACAACTAAAAAAGAACCAAATCATATTATAGATTTATTTATGGGTTAATAAGTAAATAGAACCCTAAATTCTTACTTGAAAATCGTCTTAAACCCTGAACTCTTGAAATATATAAAATAAACTCTGATCATTAACTTTTTAACACTGTTATTGTACACGCAAATACTGTTCAGAGTTTATTTTTCTGTGAATTTAACCTTGATTATTATAGTACCTGTGTGGACAGTAACGATATTAAAAAAGTTAACAGTTGGAGCTTATTTTGCTATAAATTTAAAAATTTAGAATTTATTTTGCATATTTTAATAGTTCAGGGCCCAAGACAATTTTTAAACAATAGTTCAAGATTCTATTTACTTATCAACCCTTTATTTATCAATATTTCAACCCCTATTCCATATGAACAAAGTTCATACAAATTGAAAGAAGAATTCATTAAATCATATTATAGATTTATTTATCAATGTTTCAACCTCTATTCTCCCACGAACAAAGTTCATACAAATTGAAAGAAGAATTCATACATGTTTGGATTCTACTTTTATTAATTAAAAGGATTTTTGAAAATGAACTTTTTTTATAAGACTATTTAATTGAATTAGATTTGAGCATTACCTACCTTTCGGACTTAGTTTACAAAACAAAACAAAAAAAAGACCTAAGAAAAGTCAACTTTCAAAACAATTTTTTGGCAAAAATCAGTTCAGTTTGACATTATCATTAACCAAATGCCAAAAATACATGACCTTTTGTTATTAATTTTGATTAAGATTTAATATTTGGACAAAATAATTAAAAAGCAGTGACTTTTAGAATTGATAAGAAATAAATAATTATTAAATTCATACCTTGTCAGCATAGAAATTAAATATGTAGACACCATTGCCCTTGAATTGAGAGTCTCTTGAGACAATGCTGAAGATGGAAAATGAGGTTTGAATAAGGGTATACACAAACCCAATGACTATTATCGCCAGCATATATCTGCATTTAAATACACACACAATATATATTATGCTAATTAATTAATTGATTGATAATCATTCCTATTTGTTTAATCAGAAAATATATTCATATTTTTGACTAACTAAACGACGAGAAATGTTCTTGTTTTGAATTTTGACCACATTTTTTTAGAAAATGTTTAATATTGGTAGTCCCGTTGTTAATTAATACGTGTTACCCAATAGTTAATGTTCCAAGCCAAAGATCAAATGACATTACAATAATTCGTCCAACCAAAAAAAAAATAGACGGCTACAAAATTATTTTTATAGTTATATTTAATACATATATTATTAAATTTAGTCATATGATTATTCATGCTTCATCTTGTTATATTTTTATTATATAAATTTTAATATGCATAACTCATGACGATTAAAAACAAAAGTGATCATGTAAATGTAAATTAGGTAGATCATATGCAATGTATGAATAGTGTTAGGAACTAAAATAATTTTTAGACTTATAAAAACTCATTACTAACCTTTTTTGCTATATAAAATAAAATAAATTTATTAAATATCCTAAAAACTGTATAAGGGCAAAAAAATAATTTCCCTGAAAAAACATATTTAATAATTAAATGGAATTTTCATGATTATAAAGTATTTTATCATCAGTTGTTCTATGAAAAACATTTTAGACCTGTCCTTGTGCCTAAACCAGACACTGAAAACAAAAACCCTCTCATGACTCATGCACATGAAATGAAAAGAAAACTAAATACTGGCCAAAAAAAAAAACTAAATAATTAATTTTATTTAAAAAATCTACAAAAAGAATGTGCGCGCGCTCATGCATGTTTGTCTGTGCATGCATGTATATATAAAATAAAAAATATGTAAACACATCATGCCACTATACAATGAAAAAAAAAAACACAATTTTCAGTCAAAAGTAAGCTTTTGATTTTGAATTTTCAGCAAAATATCTGTTAACGTTGCCCTCAAATAACTGACTGACTGAAGAAACCTTTTATTAATCTCATAAATTTGACACGCTAATTTCCCTCAAAACCGAAGAAAAGTAGCAGCAAAAAAAAAAAACAAAGAAAGAAAGAAAAAAGAAAAATTGAAGGCAATCTTTCACTTCCCTCCATAGGACAACCAAAAAAAAATGGAGAATAAAAAAAATATTCTATGTATGAGATATATCACTTACATCTTTGCTCCTAAAAGTGAAGAAATTATTACTGTTAAATTAAAAAAAATAATATAAAAATACTGTATGTCTCGATTTTTGCACAAGAAAAAAAATTGTCTGTTTGAAATGTCAGCGTAGCTAGTAAAAAGACAAGTTACGCGAAAATATAATTTTTAATCCTCAAACTTTATTTCAATTATCAATTAAGTTTTTAAATTTTAACTCATAAGTGATGAAAACTCAATCTTTATATTTTTTAATTAAGTATAACTCAATTTCTATATTTTTTAATAATCAGATATTTATAATTATAAAAATTCAATTTTATTAAGTTAAAATTTAAAGACAAAATCAATAATTAAGAGAAATTTTAATGACTAAAAGTTATATTATTCAAAAATTAAAAAGGATTATAAAACTTTTTAATTTCTCAAATTTACTTTAATTATTAATTTAATCTTTAAAATTTTATCTTTGTCAATCAAGATCATTTAAATTTCATTATCGCCACACTTACTACCCTTATAATGTTATTTCCCATGCAAACTAAAAGGACTGTATATGATTTAGAAACTTCAAGAACTTGATTGATGAAAATTAAATTTTAAGAACCAAATCAATACACAATACATAAATTTGATATGATAATACATGTAATACTGGATATCATCGTACTTACCTAAAAGAGTGAACATCGTTGAACTTGAACTTAGCTCCACCTACAGTTTGACTGGTTACAGCAATGATGATGAGAGCTATCAATAAGCACACAGAGGTTAGAACCCTAAGAAGCACAAGACAGCTTCTTTTCACCATTGAATTTGATGGAAAGCTTTCCATCTCAATAATAAAGCCTCAATTTCTCAACCTCTTCCTCTTGTGTGCAATAATTTGGTGCAACAATGAAACTCATTGATCTTTTTATATCACAAAAGTCTTGATTAATAATTATATATAATTAATTAAGGTCATCGTTCACTCGAATATTTTATATGTCAAGCAATAATATAGGTGGGTAGATATAAATAAATAGTCATCGTGGGTATAATAAGAATTGTTTGTTTACTTTGAAAATACTGGCGTGTACGTGGTGGATTCTTGATTTATATTTTCTACTTAATTTGACTAAGTCTAACCAAACTGCATCTAAGTGACATTATCCATCCATTTCACACCGGTTCATGGTATGTGTGTGTGGGGTAAGTTAAAATAAATTAAAAGACACTAATGATATATTTTGGTTAAAAGAAATTTGAATTTAAATTTGTGCTAAATTATTTATTTAGATACACAAAGACTTATGAATTTGGATCAAAATACATTTCTTGTTATAATTCATTTTTAATTTTAAATTTTATTTACATCATAATCATTTAAAATTTTAGTTATTTAAATCTCGTATTCTTTTAATGTTTTTAGGCAAATTAACTATCATATGATGAATTTTTTTTTTATTTGCCAAGATACTACACTGTGAGAGATATTTACCATAATATTACACATTGGAATTCGGATTGATAAACACCAGACTGTATATTTTTGTGTGTCAGACTTATATAGAACATAGTGTTTATAAGACCAATTTCTATATTAACATCATATGATAAAAAGTACACCCATTTCTTTCCCTCTCCCTACGCACACCATCGTCCGTCCATCTGCTTCTTTCTTTTCTATTGTAATTGGAACAATTATATTAAAGTCCAAAGGTTGATTGACAACTGATTTGTCAATACAACTTAATTTAATTATTAATAAATATTATAATAATTAATTTTTTTATATAAAACCTAACTATAATTCTTTCATTGTAATTTGTGGTGACAACCTCTCCCAACCCCTAGTGCGAACAATTCTTCCTCCCCTTTCTCTCTCATACATATAATACAGATGTAATATAAATTATTTAGATAAAATTACATATTTGCAGTATATAAATTTTAAATTTTAACTAAATACTTTTTAAATAATTATAAACATGTTGATAAAAATTATTTATATTTTTTAAATTTGAGCTTACAATTGATAAGATATAAATAAATATGAATACATGTTTATTTATTTTTTTTATTTAAATAGTTATATACAAGCTTTGAGAAAATAAGCCTTGTCATTCACACAAAATTATAAAGGTAAAAATATGAACAACTTTAAAAAAGGCACGTATACTCTAAATGTAAAATTTAAAATACAATATTTTAAATTTTAAATTTAAATTCAAATTCATCTATTTAAATGTTAAATAGAACTTAGTGTTTATAAGACCAATTTCTCTATTAACATCATATGATGAAAAGTACACCTATTACTTTCTCTCTCCCTTCGCACACAATCGTCCGTCCATCTGCTTCTTCTTTTTTATTGTAATTGAGAGAACTATATTAAAGTCTCACACAAGAAAATTAATTATTGTAAGGCCCATTAATAATTAAACTAAACTGCATTGATAACACAACCAGTTGTCAATGCAGTTTAGTTCAATTATCAATAGATCTTACAATAACTAATTCTCTTGTATAAAACTTAACCGTAATTTTTACTAATTTCTTTATGTAAGACCTAACTGTAATTCTTTCATTATAATTTGTGGCAACAACCCCTTGTGCGAACAATTCTTCCTCTCCTTTCTCTCTCATACATATAATACAAATGTAATATAAATTATTTAGATAAAAATACATATTTACAGTATATAAATTTTAAATTTTAACTAAATACTTTCTAAATAATTATAAACATGTTGATAAAAATTATTTATATTTTTTAAATTTGAGATTACAATTGATAATATATAAATAAATATGAATACATGTTAATTTTATTTTTTATTTAAATAGTTATATACAAGCTTTGAGAAAATAACATTGTCATTCACCCAAAATTATATGAGATAAAAATATGAACAACTTTAAAAAAGGCACGTATACCCTAAATGTAAAATTTGAAAATAAGATATTTTAAATTTAAAATTTAAATTCAAATCCATCCATTTAAATGTTAACTACCAGATTGCATATTTAATTGGTGTATAAAGTGATACTTGAAGTTACCTCCTATACTTTGCACAGTTGATCCCTGTAATTTGACAAATAGATTAGTAGTTCTTGGCAGTGTTATAAATGGCTTGGTTGAACAACAGCTAATGTGTATGATCATGCCGACACTGATTAAAATAGATGAGAAGCGCAATGATAATGATACATGTGTGACTTTTTTTGTTCAATGTGTACGAGTTACATTGGTTCATCAAAAAGATCAGTAACTCAAACCTTCAAAGTAAAAAAGAGGAGTGATGTGATAAAATTTAAAGTTTGTATACTGTAGTTAAAGTAAACGTTAGTGAAGACGTTTTCCAAAAAAAAAAAAACTTGATATTCTAACATTTTTTAAAGGTGTAATATCATTTTAATATTTTTTAAAATTGAATAATTTTGCCTTGGAGTAACAACATAATCTAACGGGATTTTTTTTTTTGGCATGATAGCTTCCTATATCCCAACTCACAGATGCAGGATCAGATTATTTCGAATTGAGATCAGGTTAGTTCATTTTTGGAAAAAGCCTCTACCACACCCTTTAGGGAATTTATCACACTGGATACATTCTCAAAACTCAAATTTAAAATTTCTGCTTAAATTAGGATGATCCTGTATCAGTTAATCTAAGCATTCGGTGGTAATAATCTAACGGTGTTAATCTTGTTAGATTGGATATTGTTGCTGCGTGCGTGCCGGAGACTTTTTGACCATTGCCATTCTTCTTCCCCGATCTCCCTCACCTCAGTCTTCACACCGCACACTTCGTCGTCGTCTTCATCGTCATTTTGCGTTCTTCGTTATGCAATCAAAAGCAGCGACCGATGGATCCTCCATTGATGATGATGACGACCTTCGTTCTTCAGGCACTCATACTGTTCATCGTTGTGCCATTGATGATGCTGAGCTGTGTCAAGGACCTGCACGCAGGAGGAGAAGCTTAACTTGCAGGTGGTGCCGACGACGGAGAAGGCGAACTGGGGAGTGATTCCAATTCAGACTATGTACGGATTTAGGTATATTTCATCTCTCTCTCCACTCTTCAACCTAAACTGATCATCACACTTAGCAATCAGAACAGAGGAGCTTGGTTAATCTGGAAGTATAGATGTTTTTCCAGTTTAGTATACGTGTATTGGGCTTTTATAGTCAATGATTCTCCAGACTGCCCAGCAATGGTTCGTAATTTCCCAATTCCTAGTTCCTGTCAATTCTTAATAGTTTTCGACGCTATGAACATTTTGGAATTATGGTTCTTGCATTTCTTGTAAAAAAAAAAAAAAAACAATCAGGCATAAAATTCTGAAAATACAATTTCATCGTGGGAATATACAGAGTTAGAAAATGGGGGGCCGGCCCTTAAGTTCAACCTTTTATATAAAGGGATCATAGCCAGGCTAATAAACTCTTATTATTATTTTTTGTTTTTTAAAATTTTTAAAAATTAAAATTTTTAATTATAATATTTTACATATTTTTTAAAAATATAAATTATAATATTTAAAAATTAAAAATAAATAATAGAAATTTTAATTTTAAAATATTAACATATATTCTAAAGTTTAAATTTAATTTAAAAATTAAAAATATTTTATTTCTTAAGGAAAAAATAAAAACGAACTTAAAAGGGCGCCCGAACCTATTTTTTCAGAGTCTATCAAGGCTGAGCTTGAAAGCTCGATTTTCTTAAAAATTATTATTTTTTTAAGTTTAAATCCTTATAAAAATGAGCTTAAACGGATGACTCTTCAAGCTCAACTTTTATTTTTGATTCTAAAAATATATAAAGAACCCTTCGTTTGAACTGTAATATTTTTTTGCCAGGTCAACACTGTGAAGTAATTTTCACCTCATACAATTTCTAGATTAAATTTGCCAAGTCGAGATTGAGTTTGAGGGAGAGATGGACAATTAATGGTAGGACCGGTGATTGTGAAGTGCACTGTCTTATAATGAGTATTCAATTCGGGGATCCAGAAGAAGCGTGCCGTGTGAGAATTGAGGTGGGATTTGGGAGAGATTGGGGAAGAAGAAGATGAATGGCAATAATGGCAATGGTCAAAAAGTCTCTTAGCATAGAGCAAAATTGTTCAATTTTAAAAAATATTTGGACAACAATGCATCTTTAAAAACTTTAAGATACAAATTCCACTTGAAAAATGCCCAGGGCATATTTGTACTTAAACTTTATTCCCTTTATTTAAAAATATAAAATATTTTTTAAAGAGTTGGATGTTAAAAAATATAAAATATTTTTATTCTTTCAAGGTGTAATTATTATTTTTTAAAAAAAAATGTCCCTATTGATAGTGATTTTATATTTATCATAAGGTGTTTAATAGGAATAAATATAAAAAAATAAAGTTAGTTTGAAAGTCGGTAGCTACTTTATTGGGGTAAAATTAAATTAAAAATATCTTATATTTTTTAACAGAGAGAGTATAATTTATGTTTGTAAACTTTTTTCTTTTAAATCACTTTACCAAACTAAAACTTGCCAATAAGCCTCTTGACTCAATATTTAACACACGACATTCTTCAAAAAGGGTGTTGGATTTTTTCCATCGTAACAGGAAGAAGTGGAGAGATCAAAATAAATCTGAATCATTAAATTAAATTTAAAATTTAAAATTTAATAATTTTTAAAATATAAATTTAATTTAAACAGTTTAAATTTATAATAAAAAATAGTAAAAAAATAAAATGATGAAGGGGAGAAACCTACCCCATTTGAATTAGGGTGGTCGTGGGTTTTATACACGTGTAATCAATGGGTTGATGTGTGAGTGTGAGTGTGGTGACCGGTGGGGAGTGAGCGTATGCGTCGATCTTTT